TTGCCCACTTCAGGAATTCAATTCTGAGCAGCTCATAGGTTGACTCAGCATTTCATCCTTCCAAGGTTGATAAAATGAGGACCCAGAATGTTGAGGGCGATATGCGGACTCTGTAAACAGCTTAGAAAGGGCTGTAAAGCACTGTGAAGCGGTATACAAGTGCTATTGCTTTGCTATCTATGATAAGCTATCTGATTGCTTATTGTACCCTATGACTATTATTAAGTGTTGTACCTTATGATTCTTGACTCTTGATGAACGTATCTTTTTATGTACACCGAGAGCATATGCACCAAGACAAATTCCCTGTGCGCCCAATCACACTTGGCCAATAAAGAATTCTATCCTATTCAGCTACAGTCACCTCAGCTTATAACTTGATTAAAGAACTACATAAGTACCTTACCTTAATCTAAATACGGTAGTGTGCTTCTGCATTTAGACTCGGATGTAGGAAATGACCCGGATAACCCGGATGTAGGAAATGACCCAGGAGGGTCAAATGGACTGTCAGCTTGGAGTCACTTTGCCCCCATAAGAGATCTAAGTCCAGCTCTCCTTGAAGTCTATTGACTCTTATCTGGTGCCAATTTGCCTTGACTGTTAGTAGATTAGATTCTTGTGTATAGGCTACATGGAATAAACTTGTAGTGCTTTTGAACTCTATCCTGACTCTTGATTTCCTGCGCCTGACATTAGCCATTCAACTTATTCTGCTCATATAGACTGAATAAATGAAACAAATTTAAAAGAGAAGATCTGATAGTCATCATGGCTTCTTTGGATATAGGGGCAAAAATATTCTCCTTTCCTCAAAAAAGATAAAATCACTATATTTCTTTGCTTAAAAATCCATAGTATTGGTAGAATGATACAGCAAGATTCATGCAACTGCAGTCCCTTAAGATATGCTATGACATTTCTTCACAACTATCAATTCTTTCTTTTCTATATTTTATTTTATTTTCACTGCTTAGGAAGCACAGCAGGTACAAAAAGGTTGCAGATGTCAACTGACACTACTTTGTAATGCCAGATATGGCTCTGTATTTGCCTAATAAGGATTTAGATAAAACAGAAGTTCCCAACCTTTCATATATTTTTTTTATGACTACAATTTTTATCTTCAAAGGGTAAGAAGAACCATCACATCACTCTGGGGACCGTCTGCAAGCACATTGAATATGTCATTTCCTCCCCCCCCCCCTTACCATGAAAGAGAAACTTACTTAACTTTATTACAACTGAAGTAGAAATAAGAAAAACAGTTGAAATAAATTGCTTGTAGACTGTGAATTATTTCACCCCAAAAAACAAGAAACAGAAATAATAACTGTAAAAAAAATATGACTTGATTTACTGAAACTCAACTTGTGACGTTTTCTTCTGAAGCAGGGTTAAATATCAGTTTTCAATCTTTTAATAATAATTTTAAAAGAGAAAAATATTAGAAACATTTTTCAGCAAAACAACATACACACCAATATAGTTCAATATTAAATAAACTTGGAAATTATTTTGGCAAAATGCAACGAATGTAATACTGATTTGGCTCTCTAATACTATATACTGGGCCAACACTTTCATGGTGCTTTAAATACTGCAGTTTGTCTCAAAAATAGCCTATATTTTCCCTTGGTTAAGCACTATTTTTAATTAAGTCATCCAGCTGTGCACGCAGTTAGTAAGTGGTTCAGCAAACACTGAAAACTCAACACTTCCTATTCTTTTTCAAAGAGCCAAAATTAGATGTTCCTCAGTCTAAACTCTGTAAATGAGAAGGAGGAGTAAAAAATGCACTGGGGATAAATTTTGAGGCCATACATGCACAGAATGAATAGGCCAGAATTCTAGCAGCAATTAGTCTACTGTAAATTATTTTTAAATTAAATTTATAAACCACCACATCTTAACAATTCTTGATGTTTTACAAAATTAAAACATACTTACATCAGAATCTAAACTACAAATAATTCACCTCCAAAGATCCCTGGAACAATTATATTTGGATCTGGAAGGATATTGCAGATAGAATCGGTTTCACCTCCAGAAGGAGTGAATTCCAAAGAATCACCACTATCACTGAAAACTATTGCTTCCTGGCCTTAGCCCCACTCATTTCTTATGACAAGCATTCCAAACATGCAACCATGGCCCCCCGATGGTAGTTCTGAAGACACCTAGGTGCTAAGTCATAAAGAGTTTATAGGTTAAAACCAGCAATTGAATTGGACCAAGAAACCTAGTGAAAACCAATGCTGGGCCTGCAATATTTATATTCTACAAACCTGACAAAATCTGCCAGATAGCACACTAAGTCCAGGTCACTGCAATTTGAAGCAAATGCAGTTTTTGAATAGTCTTCAAAGAAAGTCCCACTGCATTGCAGCAGCCCGAATGAGTAGTGATGGGGACATGAATCACTGCAGCAAGGTCATTCTACAAGTGTGGCTTAAACTGAAGCTGGGCAAAAATCCTTCTGGTCATTCCCTCATCTGCCCATTTGAGCAACAGTCATAAGTTTAGAACTGAAGAACTTCTTGGATGAAAAGCAAAATGTTTTCAAACACAAAATCAAGAATGTCCAGTTGCCTTTTAGAAAAAGCATTTTTGGGGGAACCTGGATGATTGAGAATCTCCATAAATAGGAGTTTAGAAGAATTTCTTCTCACAGATCTATTTCTTCAGAAGTAGTGCTTCCACCACAGAAAGTACCATCAGAAAGGTAGAAAATCATAATGATTATTTTGAATACCATAACATTATATTTGATTTGTCAGTGTACATAAGCACACAATTCCAGATTTAAAATAAAACAGAATATAGGTATGATTTCTCCTGCCTCACTCAGGAAGTTGTGAGTGCTCCAACACTGGAGGTTCTTAAGAAGAAGTTGGACAACTATTTGAAATGTTACAGGGTTTCCTGCTTGAGCAGGTGATTGGACTAGAAAGCCTCCAAGATCCCTTCCAACTCTTGTTATTCTGTGGCTCTTTTAAACGTACTTCTCTTAAACAGATACTCCCCTTAAACAGATGCAACTCTGATTTTTTACAACTTGGTAGCCCACTGCCTCACTGAAACCTGGATAAATGATTGGATTAATGTTAGCAGCTTGCATATTCCAGGATTTAAGATATAGAGGGCAGATAGAATTGCAGGGACATCCAGTAAAAAGAAGGGAGGGGGGTCTCTGCTTTTATATTAACAATGGAGGTTTAAAAATGTCACTACACTAAAGAACAACAAAGAATGTTCTTCCTGTGACAACTCAAAAAGCTCAGACTGCCCAAGGAACTGCTGGTACAGTTCTACAGAGAAATTATTGAGTCTATCATTTGTACCCCTATAATTGTCTGGTTTGGCACAGGAACCAAACAAGATAGACAGATTTCAATGGATAGTTAGGCGTGCAGAAAAAGTAATTGCAACCAGCTTGCCTTGTATTAAGGACCATATATTGCACAAGCCAGAAAGAAGGCTATGAAAATATCTACAGATCCCTCACATCCTGGACATATCAACTTCTTCCCTCAAGACAACATTACAGAGCCATGGTGGCACAGTGGTTAGAATGCAGTATTGCAGGCTATTTCTGGTGACTGCCGGCTGCCTGCGATTTGGCAGTTCAAATCTTACCAGGCTCAAGGTTGACTCAGCTTTCCATCCTTCCGAGGTCGGTAAAATGAAGAGCCAGATAGTTGGGGGAAATATGCTGACTCTGTAAACCGCTTAGAGAGGGATGTAAATTAGTGTGAAATGGTATGTAAGTCTAAGTGCTATTGCTATAGGACATTGCACGCCAAAACAACTGGAAACAAAGACAGTTCCCCCCCACATGCCATCACTCTGTTAAACAACTAATTCCCACAACACTGTCTTATGCCCTGGGATATCAAACCATGTGTTAGGGCTGTATTACCATTTTCCTTCTCCTATGTCCTATCCATCTTTCCTATTACCTATTCCTTTCGCCTCTTATTACTATCACTTTGTTGTTTGTACTTATGATTTATGCCAATTGTTTTTATTTAGTATCTTAGGACTATTACTGAGGGTGGTATCTTATGATTCATGATGGTTGTATTATGATTATGATCATGATGATTTATCATTTGTTGATTGTTGATTGAATGTACATTGAGAGCTTATGCACCAGAGACAAATTCCTTGTGTGTCCAAACACACTTGACCAATAAAGAATTATATTCTATTTTTGAAACTCCACATGAAAACTGGGTTTTACTTAAAGGTAAAACATAACATAAAAACCAGCTGTGATAAACTATTTCTATACTAGACGCCAGGACCTCTGTTTTAAAGTAGTTCCCCACTGCTTTCTTAAAACCTCATATCCAGATTAGATTGTTAGTTCTCCTCTTCCTGTAACATTTTTACATACAGCAAAACTTGTGGCCACCATAAAGAATAACAGTGCGTAGTATTCAAATCTTTCTGTCCATCAACAAGCCATGTATCAATAGGATAGATCTGCCTTCTCTCAAGTACCATGCTCAATCTGTCCCTGAAATTGGAGGTGGGGTGAAGGGTGTTATAGATGATGAAAATAAAAGCTCTGCTATGACAGCAAAAAAAAATATTTATATCTATATCTATATCTATATCTCTATCTATCTATCTATCTATCTATCTATCTATCTGGGAGAGACGTGTGTATGTATGTGTGTGTGTGTGTGTGTGTGTGTGTGTACACATATACACACACACACATACTTTCTCCTTTTTACTACAATATTACCAAATTCTGGGTTAATTAAAATTCTTCAAGGACTGAATATGAATTATTTTTAAACAGACAAAGCATTTCATTTAAGATCCAATTATCCTGTTATTGTTTTTGCATTATCCATACTATGAAATTATTATCTTGGAGCTACTCTTAATGGAAAAATCATTCATTTCAGAAAATAAAGTTCTTGGTCATGCATAGCAGAATCTAGTTTTCTCCATAGCTGAACTGTTTGTTTAATCAGACTAACCTGAGCCTCCTTTGGCCAGATATTTGTCCCTTGCATAAATGACTGAATCCAGCATAGACTCAAAGAGGAGGAAATAGCCCTGCAAATTGAGAAAAAAGAAAACAAACAAATAAGAGATAGGGTGAAATTATATACCAGTTTTAACAAGCTCTACAGTAGCATTTATAAACTTTGTCTTTGGAAATAAATATTCTAAAGAATAATTCAGGAACTCTTTTATTCTCTACTATTAGTACTGCCATTTACACCATGGTATAGCAATTCCTTTCATTAAGGATTTCACAATTCTTGTATTATATCCTAGATGAAGAGGCCACAGCTTTAACTTTAATTGTTTGTTAGTATCAATATGTACAAAATGTGTATAATGAAATCTCTGAAGAGCATCTCTCCTTCTGTATATAAAGGGGCATAATAAAATCATAAAATCTCTCAAATCCAGCATGGGCGAAGGTCAACCACAAACGTCATACAAGCCAAAAAGACAATTCACACAGTTCCTGCCACAAAACCACCAGAGACAGGAATGCTTAGGCTCAGAGGTGGCAGTAATTAAATGTCCCGTGTCCCCCCCGCCTTAAAGGTATGGTTAATAGAGAAGAGTGCAGGCCCCTTACCACGAAAAGGCTCCTACTGGAAATTATACAGAAGCTCAAGAGATTTTGCTGGTTTTGAGATATGCATATAAAATGTAAAGAATAAGCCCAAGACCAGAGACTGACTATGGGATAAAAAGAATAGCTTTGTATTAAGAAGCATGGCTTCCTCATAGGCCATGTACATGCTCTAGTTCCCAGCCCATCTCTACTTCTTCAACATGGCTGCAAAAGAAGAAACTGTAAATTTGGCTTTTCTTTTAGAACAACAGCAATTTAGCATGCTGTCTAAAACTTAAGTTAATCTATGTATAAAATGAAATAGATTTACAAACTGTACTTGAACTACAAATCAAAGTTTAAGTTTAATCATAGTCTGCCTGGATTAAATTGGGTTAATGTACAAAGGAAATTAAAGTTTCTAAATTCCTCCTTAGCAATGCACTGGAAAGCAAAGGGGGGTGGGGGCTAGGACTGGGCTTCTCTTAAAAGGCTGAACACCAAGTCATAATTCTATGTAACAGCCAGTTATTATATTCTCAGAGTTCAAACCAATTGTGCATAGCTTGGAAAGGTAGGTCTGAATCTCAACCTATGCAAAAGGGTAGGAAATCTATTCTCTCTCTCTCTCTCTATATATATATATATAAAAGAACAGAGCGGTGAAAAATCGGCAATTTTTCCATTGATAAGAAAGCTCAACTTTATTTAGGACTGAGGGTTAAATGAGCAAGCTTACGATAGCAATTTTATTTTGGAGAAAATAGCAGCCAGAACAGCTTGATCCAGAAAATGCTTCTGATGGAAAGCTCTCATCAGTTTCCTACTGAACAGCTCTCTATCTCTCTAGCTGCTGTTTGCACAAACAACAACCCTAGGGAAAAATGGCAAGCAGGTTTTTTATAGCAGGACATATGTATATTTGCATCCAACAGTACCTTTGTATCTCTATGGAGCATTTCTCTCTGCACAAGGGGACCCAAGATGTCTGCTGTTCTTCCTTCTGCACTGCACTCCCTCCCCCCTCACATGTACGTGAATTCGGCTCTGAAAATCAAGGAATCCTCCACAAAAATGTGTCACATAGCATGGAAAGGTATAATGAAAATTGGGTATTACACCCCTGGGAAGGACAAATGTTGTCTGCTAGGACAAAGCCATCACTGGAAGCAACCAATTATTGCACTAATATATAATTACCTTTCTCAGTCATGCTAAAAAAGCAGACCAATAAACTAACTGGTGTTTCTTAAGATCTCACGGTTCTCTTCTGATATTTCCTAGGCTGATACTGCAGTTTTTACCTCAACCATCCAAGTTGTCTTACACAATATCACGTCCTGTAAGCTGCTAAGGGGTTGTCTGTCATATTGAGTCATTCATCATCAGTCTCAAAATGTTTTGCTCTATGTGTGGTGCTAATTCTCTGCTGTAATTTAGAATGTAATTTCACAGGCTGCTGCCTCACCTGTAGGGGTGCCATCTGGAAAGCGAATTATACCTGACATTTTTGGTCTATGATGCTTGGAGACTATCCTGCTTCTACGTGGACAAGGTGCAAATTTAAAAAAATAATTTAAAAATAGTTGATTAATTCAAAATTAATTAAAGCAAAGTATTCTGTACTGCACAGATTTGTGAGCAGAATGCTAATGGCTAAAAATAGCAACCAAATGAAAATATACAAATGACTTGCTTTTTCTTAGAGGAACAAAAAATGATATTTCATTATTGCATATTATAGAAGTGTTTTGATTATTAAAAGTATTTGTTAGTGCTTATAGCAAATAGAATAAGGACGTAAGGGCTTTGTTGAGGTATACTTGCATAGCTGGATGACAGAAGCATATCTGTACATCAAGATTTAGAGAAACTATAGAAATAAACAATTAAAATAAGATATTGGCTGTTGAACAAAAATGCTCCTGCATTCGATTTTGTTTCTAGATAGCAAGTTTGCAATTTCAAGTTAGCTTCAAATAAAATTGCTGTATGGATATGCAACAGCACTTAAATGGTGTTTTTTTTTAAGGCTTTAGGGCAAAACTGAATTTCTCCCCCAAAAAATAAATAAATAAAATAAAAGCCTTCCAAAAAACCTTATTATTCCAAGCTAGCTGATTCAAACCTTGGAAAAAGCTCTAGGCTTAGTTCAACTTATTTAAAATTATCTTTCATTCTGCTTTCAAAACATTTTTGGTATTATTATTGCATTTCATACTGTCTTATAGCTTTTGATGCTATGCTACTGCTAATATCTAAGATAAGATTGGTAAGGTAAGGTAACCTTTACTGTCATTTTAAGCCATGAAAAAACTATTTTAAAACATTCTAAGACTATTAACTTTAGTTCTACGAACATTCATTTCCTGTCTATTTTCTAGCTTTACCGCACACATGGGTTCCAATATCATTTTTTCAGGGGTTCTACTGATCCCAAGAAATGTCTTCCATGTCTTTCCACATAACATTAGTTCTTCAAATTCCTGCATACTGTCTATCAGGACTGGGCAAACATCAGTCCTGGCCTACATCTGTCAACCTCCCTTCATTTGCAGTTTTTTTTCCCTCCAGAAATTTATCACCTACACTTGATAAAAGAAATGGCAAATGTGACCAGTTACTGCTGTTCATATATTTATTAGCTATAATGCTTCAAAGTCAGGGGTACGGACAAATCACTGTTGTAGATTCTTCGCCCAACATTTCACTGAGGAACCACAGGGACACTGGAAACAGAACTACTATGCACTATCACTACCTACTGATAAGACCAAGATTGGATGAAAGCAGAAGGTAGCTATAAAAAAAACTTTTTCAAAGCCACTTTTTCAAGCCAAACCTAGTACAGCTCGTGGTCCACTGACACTTCTACATCATTCTGATAATTGGTTAGTGAACAGCTAAATCACACAGATAGTTTCTCGGTAACAGCTAGGCCATTTAGAGAGGGCTCTAAAGCACTGTGAAGCAGTCTATAAGTCTAAGTGCTACTGCTTTGCCAAATGCTCTGGATAAAAGGTAGCAGAAGATACTGCTGGTCAGCGCTTTGTCTCTTTGTGTGTTTATTTAGATCTATACATACATGTGCATGTACCTACACGTGTGCCCATGTGTGTCTATATATACACCTAGCATTGACTGCTAGGAAGTGATCCTTATACTTTAGAAGAAAAATTCTGCCCATGAATTTAACATGGCCTGTTCTTCGCACTAATTCCTTCTTGTAGCAACATCTAAATCATCAAGGTGATTTAGAAGAAAAATACGCTCAGGTACTTCTCCCAAGGGTATGTGCTGAGTGAATTGTCTCCCTTTACAAATAAAATGAATATTCGGAAAACCTAGCAGCAGCATGCTGCACAGCTGATTTCATTTCACAGCTTAATATTTGTAAAATTACTCTAATTAGTGTTAAACGTAATTTCCTCTTAAAATTCTATACCTCACAGGAACAGAAGTACAATTCTGTCTGGATTGAAGTCTGCTCATATGATATATCAATATCAATATTGTCTTACTAGTTTTGTTCAGCCCTTTTTGCAGTGTCATTGTACCTTGGAGCAATCATTGAAGTATTCAGGTACTTTGAGGTTTTAAAGAAGAGACTGGTCTGGAACGGTATAGGGTCTCCTGTTTGAGCAGGGGGTTGGACTAAAACAGCGATCGCCAACCGGTGGGCCATGGCCCACTGGTGGGCTGTGAGAAAATTTTGGTGAGCCGCAGAGAAATCTCACCCCCAGAGCATCCCCCCAAAGCAATTAATCCAGGCTGTGCAGAAACACAAGGCTGTGCCATCCACATAGCCTGTGGGAACCCTCCCCACCCACTCACTCCTTACCTGGCAAACTTGCCTGCTAAATTGCTATTTTTTCCAACCATCAGGTGTCCTGCTGTGCCAGGAAATTTAGATTAGCTAGGAAGCAGGAAATGGTTGGATTTCTTGCTTTCTAGTCTTTAGATCTTCGGCTCTGCTTTTAAGCACAACCGAACCTCCCTCAGGACTGCAGGTTCTATTATTCACTTCAGACTCACGACAAGCAAATTTGAGAGACTGAGCTAGCCGATGGCAGATAGATACATCACTGAATGATTCTGTGAGCAACTCCATCTGCCTGCCTGCTTTGCCTGATTTTAGGTAAAAGTTGCTCTTTTTCTTATAAAAAAATTCAATATTTACATACATGGTGTGCTGTGAGTTAATTTTGGAGTTTGCTCGCTAGCAAATTTTATGAGTTTGCTTGCAAGCCAATTTTATGTGACAGACTGAGCTAGCTGATGGCAGATAGATAGATCTCTGAATGAATCTGTGATTCTGTGAGCAACTCAATCTGCCTGCCTGCTTGGGGTAAAAGTTGCTCTTTTTTTATAAAAAATTCAATATTTATATAAATATTTATAATACATACAAGCCATGCCCACCGAGTCACATGATCACCAAGCCACACCCACAAATTAGGCCACGCCCACAGAACCGGTTAGTGGTCCCTGGGATTTAAAATTATGAGTTGGTGGTCCCTGAGATCCAAAAGGTTGGCGACCCCTGGACTAAAAGATCTCCAAGGTTCCTTCCAATTCTGTCATTCTGGATTCTATCTGCATACATGTAAATTCACATATGTGCTTCATGCTTTCTTTTAAATGCTACATAATGGCTATGACAAATTATGGGAGAATATTAGTCTACAATATTTCAAATAGATGTTACTGTGTCATTACTGGTACAAATTATTTCCTGTCATTTTAGAACAAGAACACAATAGTTACAATAATTAAAAACATGACCATTTGCCATATAATATTTTGGCACATTTGAAATTATGGCTCCATTTTTAACAAAGCATATTTCTTTTCTTACCATCCACTCAGATATGATAACATCAACTTTTTCAACAGGTATATCAACTTCTTCAATTCTACCTTTGATCAAATAAATACTATCTTCAAGTCCATTGAGCCTGCAAGGCAAAGAGAAAGGCAAGGGCATGTCATATGTTTTCTAATTACATTTAACCTAAAAGCACTCCAACATTACTATTAATAAGTACTTATAATAACAGAGATGTTCCACAAATGTTTTTTGCACAGTCTGCACTCATGAATTGCAAATCATACATGCATAGGAATCCCCTGTTTAATTTTAGATGAGATACTACGGAACACAGTACTGAAGAACCAAGAATGTTTTGCTTATAAGACATTAAGAGAATGGATGTTTTGGACTGACCTATGGGAAACTACAAACAGATCCTCCCCTATCTGTTACTAACACAGATTAGCAGGATTTTGGGGGTTCAGTAGAAAAACAGCCACTTCATTTTCAAATATTTGCTTGGGATCATGTGCCTCTGGTTTTCTCCTAAGGAAAAAAGGTATTAACCAGCAATGGGAGAATACCTCCAAGGGAATTGTTGGCATTTCTTCCAGATAGCTGCAGTGTTTTTAGCCTTCTGCATCTCAAGGATGCTTTTCAATAGTTTAGGAAAGTAACTACTGCTTCCATTAAGCATTGTAACAGTATTAGAAAATTGTTGACTGAGATGTGGAATCATTTATTAATATAACACAGCTTATTCTTCTCCAAGACATAATACACATTTGATTTTATACATCCCATCCATTAGAAGCTACCCAAAATTAACATATGATTTTGCAATGCACTCTATGTTGCAAATCAATTGGTCTGCTGTTACAACTATGTTAAATGAATTACAGTTTAATTCAAGTTTTAATTATAAGATCAGAGACAAATATAAGTTTGCTTTGGTGACTGAGGGAAAACTTGGGAGAAAATATCTAGTAGTCAAATGTGCTTTAACCAAATACTCACAGTTTTTGAACCTAGTGAATATAAAGTGTTCTGCAAACTTTTTTTAATAAAAGAATTATATTCAGATACTTACTTTTCACAAAATGATTTTTTAAACTGTTGATAAATGGAAGTTTTAACCAGTTCTTTCCATACATGACACAACTAAGTTATAGTAAAGTAACTGATGTTTCTGTGTTTGTGAAAACAATCATCCTAGTTAACTGCAGTATTTTAGCTGAAGCATGATGGTATAATACCAATTTCCTTTATGGATATCCTATTGTTTCATATTTTAAATGAAAATATGTGCAAGGAAACTCAAGATTAAATTACTCAAGATTAATAGCACTTACTTTCTGTGAAGCGCAACTTATCAATCTTTCTTTTCTATGCCATTGTCATGACAGCTAATACCAGACAGGACAGTATAATTATTCACACCACTGGGATTTATTTTTCTACCACAATGATTAGCTAAATTCTATCTCAAACATTTATTATACTACAATCACCTTACATCTGACGTGCAACAGAAGCCAGTAACCTCATTACAATTTTAGCATTTTAGTGGATAAACACCATAGAAAAGCAAACTATGGGTGAAAAGCTTCATGAACTCACTAATGCCATACCAAATATAAAACATTAGTCAAATTCAGATGCTTTGGCAATATTTACACTGAAAATAATTACTGGCATCCAATCAAGAGTAATGTTGTCTTTGAAATTAATACCTCATTTTCTCATTTAATTCTGGGCATCAGGTCTATCTTTGATACTTCCCAAACACCAATTGAAACAAAACAAGTGAAATCCAAATGGATTCCATCAATACTTGAAGAGGTTCTTACCAGCTGTTCCACTGAGCACCTAGTTGCTTGCAGAGGTGACCTGGCCATATGATGAAATTGCTCCTGAATGGTGCGTGTGTGTGTCTTTCTATAAACACGCACACACACATTACCTTGAGATGTGCCTTTTGTTTACTGAGAAACTTCAGGAGATGAAACAATATATCCTGACTGACACACTCGTGAAAGATGACAAGAAGCTAAGTTGGCCAAGCATGGAGAATCAAACTCAAATTCAAGCCTCCATTGTGGCAAAAAGACAGGAGAAGCACAACACTTTTTTTCTTCTCTCAATGTACTTACAGGCAATGACATTATTTAGGGTACTCCTTTGGGAAGAGGGTTTTGCATAGACTCCTATCTGGTTGACCAATGCAATGAATGGGCTGCTTTGTGTGGATAAAGCCACTCAGATTCATCTGTCTCAACTCTTCATACACAGAGTTCAATGTGGTGATTGGGACAGTGTTTTGTCATTTTAGCTGGGATTCATTATGGCTACTGGAGTGTAAAGAAGTGATAGGGTGCTCTCTAATATGTCCTCAGCCACTTACAGTTTGGATCCATGTTCCCCTCCCAGCTGTTTCAGAAACCAGAAGAGGGGGCAACAGTCAACTCCAGAAGATCAGTGCTTCATTTTTGGAGGACATATTATATCTGCAACTCTGTGCAGTTTGCCCTGCAGCTTAAGTTTCTTCCTAACATTTTCTTCCTCTCTTGGGCTCAATTAATATTTGCTCAATTACTATATTCCTTCTCCAAGGTTATCTAGTTCCCGCTTCTTCCTGAACTATGCCATTTTAAATAACTATTATCTTGTTTCTAACCTTCCTTTTCTTAGGAAGATTACTGAGACTGGAGTCATTGTGAGAGCACTCTAGAGAGAGATTATTTAGACTTGTTTCAAAGTGGGACAGCACTAGTCCCTCTTGTGGTTGACCTCTGTTGGGACCTGGATTGTGGTAGCATACCCCTACTCTTTTAGAGCTCTCATCGGTCTTGATACAATTGATCATTATGTTCTTCTAGACTGCTTCTGTCTTTGCTTTTTGCTTTGGCAAAATGGGGGCACTATTTTACCATCTCTACCTCATAAGGCAGTTCTAATTTGTGCAGGTGGAGATGTCAGTCAAATATTCACTCCCTTTAAATTATTACAATGTACTATGCTGGTACCTCATGAATGAAGGTTAATATATGTGTTCCAAGATAATGTTGCAGGATCAAATCTGCCTCTGAAGATCATACTTACAACTAATCCAGAATGTAGTGACCCTGTTATCTTTCACCAAAAGTTATGTGCATTTTTACCAGCTTCCTATCCAATTTTCGGTGCAATTTAAACTCCTATTAACTCATTTAAACTCATTATAGCCTATAAACTCCTATCCTTCCATCACCAATATGTGAGTTGGCAATGAGTTAGCTGGAAAACTTTTTCATACCAGAATCAACATGTGCATCTTGAGAGAAACTGTTTGTGAACCTTCCATGTCATAAAGTATGAAGGGAGAGGACTTACGTTTTTCAGTAAAATTCCCTAGGGAAATTATACTGGCTACTACTCTTTAGATACTATGAAAATTTTAGAAACTGAAGTATTTGGGGGCCCTGTGTGAAATGATAGGATGCTTAATTTGATTTTGATTAATATATAATAATTATTAAAAATTGGTTTTGATAGTTGTTTTAGACTTTTCAAGAATGTATTTTAAATACCCATTTTACTCTTATAACAGCTGAGAGTCTAGTGTGACAGTTTGAAAATTAATAACATTTGTTAAACATAAAATAAACCAAAAATACAGATGCAGCCAAATGCATTGATACACCTCCACTTTTTTTCTGAGAAATAAGTTGAAACTGACACAAGTAAATGGCATCCACCATTCTTCATTCCATACTCCATACAGCAGACGTTTTGCTTTTGATATATGACTTAACATATTCTTGCAAATAATAAATCAAATGATTTCCTATCTGTAAAATCATAGTGACAGCAGTGGGCAAGTACTGCTTTCAAAAAAGAAATAAACCAACCTTTCAAAGTAAGTGAGTACTTCTGTTCCCCACTGCTTGCAAATAAAATGATGCATTATAGGAGGATTATTCCCCGAACATTTATAACACTGACTTTTTTTTTGAACAGCATAGTTATAATTTTACCCAGCAGAAAATAAAAAAAACTAAAACATGGACTACTTACAGGTTACACGTCTTTATTAGAAGCCCAGGAATATCTGGCTTCCATTTAGTTCCTAGTCTTGGAACAAAAATAAGTCTGATGCAACTGAAGTCGCTTCTAAGCCCCTTCATTTTTTCTTTAAGATTATCATTTATCTGATTTTGATGAATTCAAATCTGTGAAGGGTGCCTACCTAATGATGTCCATGGCTTGATAAATGATTTCAGATTGATCCACTCCTATCACCTTTTTTGCACCTGCTTTGGCAGCAAACATGGAAAGGATTCCAGTGCCACATCCAACATCTAGCACAATCTAATGAAATGCAAGGGAAAAAATACCAAATTATTGCAATCAGATAATGGCTACAAAATAATGATGAAGACAATGAATGAAGTTATTAAACAGTATCTGTAAAAATATAATCATGAACACCCAGTGTTAATGAGAAATGAGTTCTAAAATATAACATTTTAAAAATTCTGAATTCCTTAAAAGATATACTGAAAGTCTTCAATGTTTAGAGTCTTGATTAAAAACCATTTTAAGGCTTGCTGTTATAAACAGATGTCTCCTCAGTCCATAAAAAAACACTCATCTTCAGATGCAGAACAAAAAACATTTGCACTTCTGAACTCATGTTGCAATTCTGAGATATTCACAACAACCAACATCTGGCAGGCTTCAACAAAATTGCTTGCCAATAGACCAGAGGAAAAAAACATTTAAATCACAATACTGGAACAGGCCATTTAAGCCATCAAGTCCAACTTCCTGCTCAGCACAGGAATCCAAATTAAAGAATCCCAGGAAAAATGGCTGTGTAGCCTCTCTTTGAATACATCCAATGAAGACTTATCTACATTCTCCACACAAAAAAAGTGGGGGAAGGGAAGAAACTGCATTAGCTGTATTGTTCAAGGATTGGTACCTGAAATAAAACATGCATTTTGAATGTTTTGGTTCAAATATCAAATAAAGTGATGCTGTTTTGTTTGAAACATGGACCAAAATAATGATATTTTGAGCCAAAGTGGGGAGAAAAGACCAGGAAAAAGAAATGAGCATTAATGAGTTGAAAAGAGAAAGAGAAAGAAATGAAAGTGGGAAGATCAGGTGGTGGGTTGGGCAGTAGGATATGCTGGTTGGCCAGGAGCCTATTTCTGACATCACAAAACGCACATAGAATTCTGGCTTCATGATAATAACATGCATGCCGTGCTCCACCCTAGTCTCATCTGGCTTCCTCTGTTATTAATGGCAGCGAAATCAGGCAATAAAAAGTCAGAAAGCAAAATCTTAACTGTAGCATCATTCATGGTTTGTCATTCTCCTAATAAGCTAGAATCTGAAGGAGGCTTTATTTTATTGTTAGTTCATAATCCAAAATAAAACTAGAGGTTTGGCAATAACTTTTAAGCTGAGGAAATGAAAAGAGAGTTGTCTGCAAGGAAGAAAGGAAACTATGAAATGGATTTGTTTGGGAAGATATAAACTCTTGTGGCCACAAGGGGCTGGCTCTGAAGGGCTGCGGGAACAGAGATCACATTTGTCCTCCTTTTCTGCAGCCTGCCAGAGGAGTTCCCCTCCCTTCAGCAAGCAGCCCTTTTCTTTTGGGGAGGGGATATCAGCTACATGGAAACCCTAACTCTTTTGCTCTCAAAGGAAAAGAAGGGAATATCAGCTGTCTGGCAACCTTCCCTGCTGACTCTTCAATTGACTTTTTGGGAAAGCCGGCAGAGAAGATTGCAAATGGCAAACATATCTAATACTACTTCCTCCTATTTTCCCCACAACAGCAACTATGTGAGGTGAGAGAGTATGACTGGCCCAAGGTCAGCCTGCTGCATTTAATGGCTAAGGTGGGAGTTGAACCCACAGCCTCCTGCTTTCTAGTCTAGTGTTTTAACCAATGGACCAAACTGGTTTGAAAAGCTGCTGAAAGAGCTAGCAGAATTTTTAAGCCCTGTCAAAAGTCAACAAGAGTGACCTATGCATTTTCTGTCATTCCCAGGGATGAAAGGAATCCACATAACGTTTCTTCAGTTCTGTGGCTTGTTTTGTTTTGTAGCTAATGACCTGCCATCTCCATAAAATGTCCTCAAATGGCAGGTTAAAGACTGGACAACAATTATTCAATTCAGCTGGGTTCATAGTAACCCCTTTAAGGAAGGGCAATCAAATGTGGATTTACAGGTGGCTGTTACTTATAAGTTGGGTTGACAAAATCAGAAATGAGGAGGTGATAAGCTGCCTGGGGAAGCCAAGGAAAATCATGAAAACCATAAAAAAGCAAAAATTATAATATTTTAGACATGAGATGCGACACTCAGAAAAATACGCCATACTTCACTTAATCCTCCAAGGATTGAAGGCAAACGTGGTCCAGGCAGGAGAAGAAAATCATGGCTTCAAAATCTAAGGGACTGGCTTGGACAAAACTCAACAGCACTTTTTTGTGTGGCTGTTGATAAAAATAGGATCACCAACATGATTGCCAATGTCCAATGACGGATATGGCACAAGAAGAAGAAGAATACTGTGAACCCAAAAGACAAAATAGAACACATGCTTGAAAAGGATAATATTAATATCAACTGAAAGGTAACTGAAGGTAACTGAAAAGCAAATCTCCTATACTTTAGTCACAATGATATCTAAACTTTCTTAAGCTTCTCTGATTGGTGTTCCAAATACTTATCAGAAGGAACTAAAACAATGACCTTCCATCATAGCAATATGGAATGGAAGCAGACCCCTGCCTTTTTTCTTTTCTTTTCTTTTCTTTTTTTGGCAAAGCTGGATCTCAGTCTATTCATTATCTTAAAAAATGCCAACTATAAAGAAAATGTCATCACAATTATATTTTTTCTTATTTATATAAACTATAATTATATGCCAGTCAGCAGAACCATAGAGGAAATGCATCTCTTTCCTTGCAAATAATACTTTAAATGTTGCCATGGCAGTAAAAAATTGTCCATTTTTTGAAATAAGTTAAAAGATTTTTGCTTTAAAATGAACTCATTCTGCACGTTAATGAGGTGTTTTTAAAATGTCCTGCTGTGTTTTATTAAGTACTTATTTAGACTTAAGATATTTAACTTTTTTTAATACATAGAAATTTCAGATAACTCTCTAGCCATATAAGCTATAAACAAGTGTTTTCTTCATCTTTATATGTTAATGATCATGATGGTAATGATCTGCAACTCTAATGGATTCACCTTTTTCTTTTCAGTATGTCACTGAGCAGGGGAAGTTGCATGCAGACAAATAACTTAAAATTCTACAACTTCCTCAATCACTGAATAACTATGATTGAGGCACAATGTTATGATACATCTACTGCACTTGATGAATCTCTACAAATGCCTCTACAATGTGCATTTGGGTTATCTGTTGTAATAGTTGTGTTAACCTTTGTACGCCAACCCAAAGTAACCATAGTGAGATGAGCTGCCACATAAATCATTTAAATATATCAATTTCCTCAGATTCTACCTACTATAATTAAGTACGCAAAAATTCAACAGATTCACAGGAGTGGGAAAGGCATGTTTACATTTTATGTTAAGATGTGAACATAGTAAAATGCGAACAATTCAAAGGACTACTGAGGCAATTTTAATAAATCTATCCAATTTCCAGGCTAGCAAGGCAGAGCTCTGCAGGAATAATAAGCATACAAGCTCCAAGACAAAAATAAAGACCATTCTTTATATCATAGAAGTGGCACACATAAGATCAGGGTTAATAACAGACAGGAAGCAGCAGGTGAAGCTAGGCGGAATCACATCTGATACCTGTACAATTAGCACAGCCCCCCCCCCCTTCCAGGCTGTGTGCTTTCTCCACTTCTCTTCTCCCTATATACTAATGACTGCATCTCAAACAATCCATCTGTTAAAATACTGAAGTTTGCTGATGACACAACAGTGATTGGTCTCAATCGAGACGACGAATCTGCATACAGGAGGTTATACAACTTGCCTCTTGGTGTAACCGAAACAATCTGGAACCGAACACACTCAAAACAGTAGAAATGGTGGTAGACTTTAGAAGAAACCCTCCCATACTACCACCTCTTACAATACTAGACAACACAGTATCAACAGTAGAGACCTTCAAATTTCTAGGTTCTGCTATATCACATGACCTAAAATGGACACCTAACATTAAAAACGTAATCAAAAAAGCACATCAAAGAATATTTTTTCTGTGCCAACTCAGAAAGCTCAAAATGCCCAAGGAGCTGCTGATACAGTTCTACATAGGAATTATTGAGTCTATCATCTGCATCTCTATAACTGTTTGGTTTGGTTCTGCAACCCAACAGGACAGACACAGACTTCAGAGGATAATTAGGACTGCAGAAAAAACAATTACTACCAACCTGCCTTCAATTGAGGACCTGTATACTGCACGAGTCAAAGAGGGCTGTGAAAATATTTACAGACCCCTCACATTCTGGACATAAACTGTTTCAACTCCTTCCCTCAAAACAACGCTATAGAGCACTGCACACCAGAACAACTAGACACAAGTAGTTTTTTCCCAAAAGCCATCACTCTGCTAAATAAATAATTCCCTCAACACTGTTCAACTATTACAAAGTCTGCACTACTATTACTGTTAATCTTCTCATCACTCCTTATCACCCATCCCCTCCCACTTGTGACTGTATGACTGTAACTTTGTCGCTTGTATCCTTACAATTTATATTGACTGTTTCTTAGTATGATTTGATTGCTTATTGTACCCTATGACTATCATTAAGTGTTGTACAATGATACTTGATGAATGTATCTTTTCTTTTATGTATACTGAGAGTATTTGCACCAAGACAAATTCCTTGTGTGTCCAACCACACTTGGCCAATAAAGAATTCTATTCTATTCTATTCTATTCTATTCTATTCTATTCTATTCTAT